CCTGAAGAGAGTGTCCCATAGCTTTATACATACCTTTATACTACCTTAAAACTGAACAGTTTTCTTTTTAATCTCATCTCTGTTTTACAATACCTTATCCATACAGCTTTAAAATAAGCCACTGATCACTTTTGAAATTCTGCCTGGAAATTTCCTTAGCCACAAACATCAGTTCATTCGGTTCTTTTTTTGTGTGAAATTGCTGCAGGAGACAGCCTTGTTCATTTTGCTATGACTTCAAACCTGCGTTATTTTCTCCTATTCCCTTATCCCTGACCCCACTCAAGATTTTCAAGTACGATTTTGTGGAGTCCACTTCTCTGCATCAGTCTGGACTGGTGTTAGGACTTACTTTGACCAACTGAAAGCTGGGGAGGGGACACCATGTGTTTTGGGGCCTGGGACTCTAGGTGGACTTGTAGCTCCTGTTTTTCATTCTCTTAGGAGCCAGATACCATGAGTGTTTCCTTGGTACCTCCCCCTAACCCTAACCCTAACCCTAACCCTAACCCTACTCCCAAAGCCCCATGTTTTAAGTTTTTATTTTGTCAGTACTTCTCTTGGAGATTTTAATTTTGTTACTGTATAACAAATCATCCCAAAACTTACAAGTATAAAACAACTACGTATTTATTTATGTATTTAAGAGTCTACAAGGACAGCTCATGTCTGTACCACACAGAAAGTGACTGGGCAGCTTGGCTGGTCCAGAAACTCTAGGATATAGAGCAGTTAGAGACTGGTTAGGACTGTCTGACTCACCTCATGATCTCTCTTACAAGTGACCACCTTACTTAGCTGGCAGCTGGCTTTGAAAAGGACTTAATCAGAGCCTCTAAGACCTCTTATGTATTAAGTTCCTCTGCCTCACTTTGTCACATCCTGTGTGTGAAGCAAGGCAGGCCATATGCGCAGAGAAGGGAAATGACTCCACCTGTTTATGGGAAGAGTGGTGAAGTGGAAATGCCACAGGCCTCCTGGGCAGGAGGACTATTGCAGCCAGCTGTCAGGAAACTCAGTCAGGTACCAACTGTAAAATAAGTTCAAGTCTGGTTTATATCATTCTACTCAATATATTGTACTTTGAGATATAAACCAAAATTTGAAGTGCAAAAAAACTCATCAAATATATCTGATTAGTCTAAGGTAAAAATGTTATTCTATATATTTAATAAGAACACCAAAATCATGGAAATAGTGTACAAAGTTTTAACTCAACACGAAGGGACAGTCTGTTACTCTGAATTATTAGATGCATTTTGGTACTGGGTATACTCAGCAGTGATAATTTTGGTCTGCATCTTAAAATACATTGATAGTGATTAGCTCTTAAAACGTATTTTATATGACCCTAAGAAATGCATTGTTTTACATAGACGATTGTATTTAATCCTCCAATCTATGCTATGAATTAATTGTTTTTGTGTCACTATTTGACAAATCCAGAAACTTTTTTTTCCCAAGAGGTTAATAAAATTGGAATGTTACACAGTATAAATGTGACTGTAAATGGTACACTACTGATGTCCTGCATTTACATTCCAACCTTGAATAAAAATTGCTATTTAAATTGGATTTTAAAACTGAGGCATAAAAACTTACAGTCTCTTCTCCTGCTTTAGCTCCTTCGCCCTAGACCTTTGAGATTTTATTCTCTCTTCCATCCTCTTCAGAAAAATGCCAAAATGTCCTAATTCAGGACTTCATGTTTAGATTGCTTCAGTCACTGGTAGCTCTGGTTTTGAAGCCTGGCCAGTGAACTGGGCTTCAGGAATTTTTCCATCTCTGCCTCACAATGTATCTGTTTAGTGACTGTCCCTTCAAACATCAAGACGCTAACAGTTTACACCAGCACCTTAGTTAACACCCTGATTTATGACCAGATAAGGGTGGAGCCAGAAAAGAATTCTTACAGCAGAGGTCTCCCTACAGGCCCTGGTGACCTGCTTCCTCCCTGGACTGGCCCTAGTTAGAGCCCCTTTGGGTATTTCTGCTGGAGTGCTGTCCCCTAAATCTCTGCCAGGCAGATCGTTCCCAAGCCTCTCTTTACTCTCCTTGATGATGACCAGCTTTTAGCACCCTGCTTTCTGGAGCACTTAGATTAAAATGAAATAGGTCTTGCTTCTGCCGCTTCACCAGTGTGGGAACAATTCCACCTGCAACTTTTAAACCAACTTGTCTCCCTCTTTCTCCTTTCTTACTTTTTTCCTTCCTTCCTACCTTCCTTCCTTACTTTCCTCCCTTCCTTGATATGTTGTACAGTTTGTTAATAATCACATTTGCTCTCAGTGTAAGCTACCTAACGCCCTTATTTTCTGCACATGCCTGGGCCCAAGACTTCGTTTACTCACCCCAATTGGCCACTAACCCTGGCTACTGTGTCGCAGGTCATGTCTCCTTGGCAGAATCCTCCTCTCCAAGTCCTGCCTGTGTCCCCTACTCTCTGCCCCCAAGGTCACCCTCCTCTAATCCTGCTTGCTGCAGCTGGCTTCCTTTCCCCGCAGGAACATCTGTGCCCATTTCCCCACTTCTCTAGCCTACCTTTTACTTTGTCACCCAGTATCTTTTTGTAAAACAAATCGAGCATATCTCTAACTCTTCTTAAGCATTTTAATTGGCAGTAAAAGAAAATCCAAACAGCCTAACGTTTTACAAAACTTTTTCTACCATCAAGCCCTCTAGAGCTTCTGCCATCTCCTCCTCTCGTCCTGATCACCCAGTGTTCCCTGTACGCCACTGTACTCAGTTTCTGAATATCCCTTGATAATAGTACTCCTTGACAGCCCCTGCTAACTGCCTTAGCCGTGATCTACTCACATGTCCCTGTTCCCTCCTGCCTTTCTGCCCCGTACTGCCTGCCCTTATTTCTGCCCACTCCTGCCTGCCCTTATTCCTAAACATTATAATCATCTTGTTATAGCCAGCCCCTTACACCAGACTGGGATTTACTTGATGGTAAGGTTAGGTCTTGTCCAGTTTTTTGTTTAAAGTATTCATCAAGTGTCTGGAACTAAAAACCTTTACTATCAGAATGAATAAGTATCAGGGAAGTATGTGGTGGATTTTAGGAAAAGTTTCTATTGGAATGATTTAAGCACAAGAAAACTCTGATTCCTAAAAAATTAAGCTTGATTTTTCAAAAAAATTGGCTTATAAATATGTGTTCATTGTCCCATAATGTTAGAGAAAATAATTATTATTGATATAGGGGAATGAAATCCCAACCTGCTACAAGTCCAGTAGAGTTGATGCTCTCTAAAACTGAAGAATGAATTTTAGGAACAACAGAGGTTAAGAGCAGAATATATTTATTGAGAGAAAGCAAGCTTCTGTCTGAGAGACAGACAGAAGGGGTCCCTTGCAGGTTGCCAGAGACTGTCTCTTTTAGGGACTTTTATCAAGAGATAAGATGGATCCAAAATGAGGAAAGCCTGGGAACTTGCAAGGCAGATGAGTATGAGGTGGGACAGAACTATGGTTAACCAGTAAGAATTACTCAGGCAAAATGGATTAAATCAGGCACAAATGAGGAAGCAAGGCACTTAAAATCTAGTGACTCTTTCCGTAGGAGATTGGAATAGTGACTTCTGACTTCCTCAGTGTGATAAAGACCTATTCTTATCAGTCCTTAGAATGCAGATGCATTTGTTTGATCTTTTGTCTTGAGGCCTGGCCCACAAAAGGAGGTGTCTGTCTCCCCCAAAGTTGCAAGGTATCTGGCCTTCTGCACTGGCTCCTTTGAGGACCTAGCCTTGTCTGCCTGCACATAATAGTGCTCTCATTTGCCCTGTAACATTATTATCTTAGGGTTCAAGTTATCATAAAAATGGATTATGATCTAATTGTCACTGCATTACTAAGAAAAATACCCACTTATCCTGTGACAGATAATGTTGGCTTTATTGGGAGAACTCAAGAAGGAAAAGCTTTGTGTATGCGTCTGTTAGACAGTCAAGACTGAAGACCTCAGTGTCTGGTGGTCTTAATTTTTTCTATACATCCCTAGAAAAGACCACAGTAATATTCAAATTTGAGGTATTATGCCAACAGTGTTGATCATATTACATAAATAAATGTTTCGTGCTTTCCACAATTTTAAGTTTATTGGCCCCTCATCTTGACATTTGAGAAAGAGTGGTGGAGGTGGTACATGTAAAAACTATAGTGGTTTGTTTTATTTTACATTTTACCCCAACTAGTTAAAAAAAATTTAGGGTCTTAAAATCAGGTTTTTTCTATATCAGATTTATTGGAAAGTAATGTAAATCTCACAGTTAATATTACATGTCACATGCAAGTTTATCTTAAATCCAGTTGTTTATGCCATAGCCATACCTAAGAAATACAAGTGGTTTTTGCATTCAATTTGTTAGCCACCTGTATTCCAGTGATATGCATTAAATATTTAAGACTGATTATAATGTTGTATAGCACTTCTTTATTGTGTTCAATGATAGGTATAAAAATAATTTATTTTGGATAAAAGTATACAACTTGGCTTCATCTCCAGCACTACAAAAAGAAAATTTTAATTCAGTCAAGTAGCAAAATAAAACTGGACTCTCTTTATAAATACCATGTATTATATCATCAAATGAATAAAAAATACGTGATTTTTAGCCTCAGGCACAACTTTTTAAAAATATTGATAGTTCATTAATATTGAGAAAAACAGACTTGTTACTGTGTCTGTTTACTAATTCTCTTGTAATTGATTGCTAGCTTACATAACTGTTTCTCTTAATCATGGAAAGATAAGATTAAAACGGGGAACATTTTCAATTTTGTATGTTATAAACATTAAATGTCAAGGAAATTGTTCAAAAAAATGATTCTTCTGTTACCAGACAATTAAAGAAAATTAAATGATAGGAATATTAAAATTTTGGCTTTAAAGAAACTGTTTGATTTCATGTACAGTTAGTAAGTTCTAAGTTAATTCTTGTATTCAACTGATTTTTATAAAGTGATTTAATATGCTATATTTTTGTTCCTGGCAGGAACTAATTCCAGAGTTCTACTACCTGCCAGAGATGTTTGTCAACAGTAATGGATATCATCTTGGTGTCAGAGAAGATGAAGTAGTGGTAAATGATGTTGATCTTCCCCCTTGGGCAAAAAAACCTGAAGACTTTGTACGAATCAACAGGATGGTGAGAGAAATTTTATTTTTGCTTGAACAGTCATCAGGAAGTTAAATTTTAAAGTGTTACTTTATTTTTAACTATTACAAATTGCCACTTAACATCTATAAATGCAGTTAAAGTTTCAGAGAAAAGACTGAACACATTATTTTCTGGTCTTCTGGCAGTACTCATTGTTGTAGAGTGGATTTCCTTTCCAGAGGACTAATCAAGGAGTGGTAATTCAGTTATGTTTGCTCCCTTAGGAGAAGGCAATCAGATGAGCATCTGTTGACTAATACAGCATATTCTGAATTGCTTAAAATAAAAGCCCATTCTTTATTCTTGTCTACTATCCTGAGTACACCTGCATGCTTTTCTCATAAAAATACTCAAAACAGGAAGAATTACATTTGGAGAATATTTATATATATAGGAAATTTAAGCTTAAAGTAATAAGCTACCTTATTATGTTAATGTGCTTGACTGTAATAGAACACCCATCTCATAAACATTCTTTTTAATCTGTGTGACAGATGTCTTAATGTTCAAATAAGAAATGTGTAAATAGAATGTTTGTAAGTGGGAATTTTTATAATTCAATATATTTTATCCATGAAGGAGACTTCAGTCTCATTGTGGTTATGGTACATGGAAATGACTGACTTAAAGAAATCTTTCTAGTGTACTATTGTTCTTGGTCATTTAAGGAATTAGTTTAATGAAATCAGTGACCCAAAATACATCTCTAACCCTGTTTTGTTCAGTCCTACGGTTTTCCACCTGATTCATCAATCTATTTTATTTTGTTTTTATAGTTTATTTTCAATCAGAATCCAAGTAAATTCTACACACTGCATTGGGGTTCACATATCCTTTAATCCTCTTTGCTGTAAGAACTTTGATATAATTCACCCACTAAGTGTCCTTTAAAAATCAATAAATTTTAGCCTATTCACAGAGTTGTTCAACTATCACCATAGTTAATGTTAGAACACTTTATCACCCATAAAGAAACCCTAAAGCCATAACATTTCACTCTGTTTCACTCATCCCCACCAACCCTTCATCTAATTTTTATCTCTACTTTCTTTTTAAAGTCAACTTTCTCCTTTCAATCTCTCTGCCTAATGTGGGTATAAACAGAATAATTAAATATGAGGTTCCCACTCACCCCAATATCATGTGACATTTTTGGACTTTTCTGGGAGTCACATTCTCCGTCTACTTTGAAGTTATATTTTCTGTCTCTAAGAAATAGCTTACTTTAATATACTTTATTTTACCAAGTTGTTACTGGTATAATAAAAGCACCTTATAGATAATCTGTAACCCAGCTTTCACCCTAGGGAAATATCATGCATTATTTAATTTTATGCATATTCTCTTACTTGACAGTTTGTAAACTGATACTTTCATATGCAGTATATAGAGTTATTTCATGCTATCAGTTTGAACAGTTATTTACTGCTTCAATTTGTGTTTTTATTGTGAAGAATTTATACTGAAAATGTCTACTTATTGTTGGAACTGGTCTTCTATTACCACATTATCCTTGCTTACTTGAATATTGACAAAATTACCAGTGTAAGGAAAGCAGAATCTCAAATTCAACCCAAATGCTAAATATATATGAATTTCTCTCAGTTACAATTTTCATTGTATCTCTCGAGTCTAGAACTATGCCTGTTGTATAGTACTTGGTCAGTAAACATTTGCTGAGTGAATTAAATGAATGAATTATATTGGAGTAGTATTCTTGTTGCTTTCAGCAGATAGTTTACTTTGTCCAAGCAAGTCAAAATGAGTGATCCCAAGCAGGGCATGGGGGAGCAAGCCTGTAATCCCAGCACTCGGGAGGCTAAGGCAGGAGGATTGCTGCAAGGTAAAGGTCAGCCTCAGCTATGGTAGTGAGTTCAGTGACAGGGTGAACTGTACAATCTGAAAAAACAAAGAAACTAAAAACAAGGTTCCTTCACGTATGCAAAGCTGCCAGAATTTGTTACACCAGAGTTTTTGTTGCTCATGCTATTTAACAGAAGTTCTTATATATCAGGCACTAGGGTATGCACTTGATTTTTTAAAAACTCATTTGTAAGGTGGCCCTGTTTTATAGATAAAAAGCATGAGGACCAGAAGTGCTCAATAATTTTACTCAGGACAATGAAGCTAGTAAATGACTAGCCCATATTTAAGTACAGAAAAAAAATTTTAACTTCAAAGTCATACCATTTCTGTTATACCAGTTGCATCTGATGTTAACTCTTCTTAGTGAAATTCTTTGAGATTTATGGCTGTCGACATGTCAATTAAAATCTTATTTGTTTGCTTTTCTTAACATTATGCAGACTATTAACAAACATCCTTCACAGATATAGACTGTAAGTTCCCTAGCCTTAGACATTAAAGGAAAATAAAGCAGTTTTCTTTGTTATCTACTGAACATTTCACATTTATTAATTTGTTAATGTTTCCAGAAAACCAAACTGCTCATGTACTAGGAAATGTGTGACATTTTTTAGACTGTTGAACAGGCAGGCATGCAGAGAAGGCTGGTGGCATTTCCTGGTTCTAGGATGAAGCCACATTTCTTCCTATGAGCAAATTCTCAGTAGTACCCATTGCATGAAGTATATAGATACACAAAACTAAAGTTGAGAAAGCTTAGGAAGGGAGAAGGGTTTAGTGTGATAGAGGGAAAGGACTTCACGTTGTAAGAAACAGGGAAGTGGCCTTCTATATATACTGTCCATTCCATCTGTCTTAAAAATCTAGCAGAGGTTAAATAAGATAAGTTCCGTTGTGAAAAACAGGAACATAAGCCTTCTGCATTTCCAGAAACAGTCATCTATCCAAGATCAGCTTTTCATTAAAATGGTCTAAGAGGAGACATTTTATGATGGAAGAAGGTTACTCCCTTCAGTGTTTGCAATGACCATCTTCCCCTTTTGGGTACAAGGTTTCTCTGTGAAGTCCAGACCAGTCTTGAACTCCCTGTGCTCCTGCCTCAGCCTCCTACGTGCTGGGATTGCAGGCATATACTGCCATACCTGAGGTAACAACTCCCTTATCTTACATTACCAGTAGCAGACAGACAGAAGTAATTAAGTATCTTAGGTGATATTCAATTATAATAAATTAACTATGGCTGCAGATAGAGAAGACCTGGGTAGAATGCTGTTTGGAAATAGGAATGCAGCCTGTCCGTGGTATGCAGTGGTTAGAAGCGACCTGCTCTGCAAAGGAGCCCAGTGGCAGGAGGTGGAAGGCTCACTTCCTGTGAGCATATCTGCACTGACCTGTCCACATGCTGAATTGGAAAGCGGTGGTCTGTGAGTGAGATGCCCAGATTAGTGCACAGAAAAATAATGTACCCACTGGAGAATTAGTCTTCACAGCTATTCCTTAGTGTCCTTTCTGTCCACAGTGTACTTGGTCTTCTCAACCAGCTCTCTGAGTCTGTTCTTCACCACACATTAGAATCACTTAAAGAAAACAAAGCTGACATTCCAAGCACTGATGGTGAGGGTGCACAGAACCAGGACTCACTCAACTCGCAGTTCTGCTGGCAGAAAACAGCTCCTCAGCTTCCTGTAAAGTTACATGCACTTGCCGTGCAAGCAGCACTTCTGTTGCTCAGTACTGACCCAAGTAAAACAAAAATTTATGTGCAGCTCAGAGCACGGTTTTTTTCATCAAAACCCAGAAATATTTCTCACCTAGTAAACGGATAAACTATAAGACATTTACATAAGACAGCACCAGGTACCAGCACAAAGCAACAGAGAACTGATCATGTAACAGAGTCATTTTCTTGCTCTCGTATAGATGGTGTCAAAGCAGTCTTAATAGCTTTGTTAATATATTATTTCTGTCTCACAAAATTTACTTGTTTTCGGAGTACAAATTGAATGCTCTTTAGTACCTTTACAGAAACAAATGACTATCACCACGGCCTAATCTTAGAACTTTTCCCCATCCCAAAAGATCTCATGGCCAACACCAACTGCAGGCAACCACTAATACACTTCTCATCTCCATGGGTTTGCCTTTTCTGGACATTTAATATAAAATATTACTCATGCAGTATGAATTCTTTTATGTTCAGCATCTTTTACATAGCTTGCTTTTTGAGGTTCGCCCATGTTGCAGTGTAGATCGGTAATTTGTTTTATTTTATGTGCAGTAGTATTCCAGTGTGGGGATACCACGTTTCGTTAATTTATTTGTCAGTCAGTGAACATTTGAGTTGTTTCTGCTACTTGTCTGTTATGATTCATATTGCTGTGAACATCCACATACAAGCTTTTATGTGAATATAGGTTTTTATTTCTTAAGGGTATACTGCTGGATTTTCTAACTCATAGTAAATTTTTTTTTTAATTTTTAAAGAAACTGCCAAAGTGTTTTACAAAGTGACTGTGTTATTACCAACACAGTGTGTGACAGTTCCAATTCCTCCATACCCTCACCACCATTAATTTTTTTCTGGGTGTTTTTTTTTTTTTTTCTTTTTTGTACTATAGCCATTCTAGTAGAGGTGAAGTAATTATGTTTCTCCAGTAACTAGTGATGTTGAACATTTCTTCACTTGTTTCTTATATGCTAAAGCAGTTTAGGTTTATTTTAGAAGACACTAGCTTTGTGTTCCCCATTAGTCTAAGAAGTATGTATGCTCCCAGAATCAATAATTTAAATAAACTTGTTGGATAAATAAAGTTTCTACATTCTTTATGTGTAAGATTGTTTTGAGCTGTCTTAGAGATAACATTCTAAAATTTATTGCCACCTGTTTCACCATCCTCCTATACAAAGAATGAAATTCTGTTCTCTAAAATGTCAAGTGGATTATCTATTATTAGTCCATGAAGTGGTGGAATCCGGTATCTGCTCTTTTTCTGTTTCCTTCTTTGTATTATCAGCTATTATCACCGCTGCCCATACGAGCCCTCAGCCATATTGATTCTGTTTTGCTGGTTTTCTCTTTCAGACTGAAAAAAACAGAAAACTCATTTTAGGATAAATAAAGA